CTGAACCATGGCACACAATGATTTTAAGCCCCTTTTAATAAATCTACCTATTTATTAAATAAATAAATGACTGAGCAATTAAACAAAGAAATATTACTAACCCTAAGACCCTTTAATAAGTCTATCGAGTGCATTTTCATCCCCCCCTAAGGAGTTGAGGGCGACATAGATGGTTCTTCAGTCCCCATTTTCTCCTCACAACAACCCCGTGAAGTAGGTTAGGCGGAATGTGTGTGACTGGCCTGAGGCTACTCAGAAAGCTTCATGACAATGTGGGGATTTGAACCCAGATCCCATTTGGACAGTCCATGCTAAACATACTCTGATACAGACTTGCATAGTGTGGCCGACCTGAAGTACATAAACATGACATCTGTATTTCCCTTTGTGGGGGCGATGGACTGTGTGAGCCAAGCGCAAACGGGAACCGAGGGGCCCGGCGGTTGTCCAATTACCGACTCCCCTTCTTGCCCGCAGTCTTCATCGTCTGCTGATTATGCTTTCTGCTGGCAGCAGGGTCCAGAACAACCTGTCCCCAAGCAAACTGCTTATATTTTATTTGCCGGTCAGTGGCCAAAACAGGCATTATCTTAATTGCAGCAATAAAACACAACACAAAGCAGCACGCATCCTTCGCATCCTTTCGACTCGACCTTCTTTTCCTTATTCTTGTGCACAAAACTCCTGGCATATTCCAAGGATGCTCGAGCCAACGGTTCAACCTCATGATTAATTGGTGAGCGACAAAGATTCAGAGGCCGCTGTTTTTTCTTTCAATATAAGACACACGGAAATGAAAATCCTGCTTTTGCTCTCAGACGCGGAGGTGGACTTGCAGATATACTGTTTGGGGATGTTTTGTACGCATGCGGTTAAACCGCCAGGGAGAGTCTGTTCTGCGCTGCCAAGAAAGGTCTGTTCCCGTTAAAGTCTTTTTTATAGTCATTGGCGCAACGTTCTTCTGAGACTGGACATGAAGCCTGCTAACACCTTTGGAACAGTTCCCGAGTGCTTCAGTGATCTTTGGAAGGAGCCCAAGAAGTGGTCGAGCCCGTAACACTTTTGTCTGCTATAATGCCTCACATCTTCATCCAAGGCTGTTAAAAAACCGCCAGTCTTTTTGGCTTTATGGTTTTAAAGACAGGTCCTCGGTTCTCAGCCACTGGACCTACAGCCTCGTTTCTGAACATCTCTACCTGTCGATGAAGCTGCAAGGCCAGCCTTACAGTATAGGCGAACTAGGCACCTGCCCAGACCGCCACACTTTCCGGAGTGCCAAATTAGACGGAAGTGAATTTCCAGCTTAATTTTTGCATTGGTCACAGTGATGGTGGGAGGTGCCATCAAGTCACTTGGCAACTTATGGCAACTTCATAGGGTTGCTGTAGGGTTTGGATGGCCCAGGCTAGCCCGATCTCATCAGATCTGTGAAGCTAAGCAGGGTCGGCCCTGGTTAGTACTTGGATGGGAGACCAGATACTGAAGCGGAAACTGCCAAACACCAAATGCATCTGAGAAGAAACAGGGAGTGGCACGTGCCCCTCTCACTCCCTCCTGTAAGATTTAAAGGGCCACGTGCTCACCACCAATCAGCTGAAGGGGCCCTTTAATTCTTGCAGGAGGGGAGGGAGAGGAGCGTGCACCACCCCCAGCTTCTTCTCAAAAGTATTTAAAGAATCCCTTTAAATGCTTTTGGGAAGAAGCAGGAGGCCCTTTAAAGAAGGGGGCTGGCCCTTTAATGAAGGGGGCGGAACCCCCAGTAGCCCCACCGTAGCTATGGACCAGCCGTACACTGTGTTCCCTTGTGTTGCTTGAGAAGTGCACTCCCTGGCAGACACACAAGCTGAAATATTGATACAAAGCTATACAAAATCAGCTCTGTTACATTTCTAGGCATTGCGTTCCTTCCCCCCCCCCCAAAGTACCCGATAGGTGCAACTTCAAAATGCCTACATGGGGAACTTCAAAACCGACAAACTAATTACTAAAAATGTTAGAAAAGGGTATGCCTCCCTTTCATGTGCAAAGAAAGAAGGAGAAATCAAACATTTATTATTAGTAATACATTTTTAAAAAAACTTGAAAGGCAAGATACCGCTAAATCTAATTTAAGACCATGCCAATAAAAGAACTGCTCATATTTCATTATAAACACACCTATCTTCACCGTTATGGATTCCTTCATTTCAACAGCAAAACATTAACCATTCTATAACACTATTTGAATTTATGCTGTCAGATTAGTGCGAAGGTCCTTTTGATATATCTAATAGTACAATCATTATTTCTAAAGGCTGTCGTGGGAATAAAATTCATAACCCGGCTCTGAACATCTTAAATATATATTGCTATCTGGTACCCCTTGTTAGCGCCTCCTTTTCATTCTTATTACATGATTTTTATACGATCCCAACGGGCTCTCTGACTTTCACTTCTTTTGTTAGCGATTTCTAAAATCCGTGGAAAGGGGACAGCAATATCAATTTTATTTTCGCATTGTCTTTTATGACTCTGCAATTTGCCAGGAGTCTCAATCAGAAAGGCCAACGAGAAACGAAGGAAATTAAAAGATAAAATTTGGGGGAAGGGGGTCAATGAGCATGGGATTACGAGGCATATATCTCGCAGGCACTCAAGTAAGTGAATTCCAGTTTGTGAAGAACTGCCTGACCTATTTGACTGATCGCAACTTTAGATCCAAGGCCTTGAGGTTTGGAGAGTAGGACTGCCCAACTGGAGCACTGGTGGAGCAGGAGCATTTGGGGGGGGGGGCAGAGACTGGGGAAGTGGCATTGTGTGACACTCTAGGAATCCTTCTAATCTCTATGGTAAAAACCACAGCGATTAGGGGAATTCCTAGAGTGCCAGATGACACTGCCCCCCCCCCCTGTTTTGCTTCCGCAGCTCCATTTAGGGAGAGCGAGAGCTGGAGCAGTGGTGGTGGAATATTGTTGTAAATCCATTGTAAAACCTACTGGAAACACTAGCATGCTTCAGATGTGAGCACCAACCGGTCTGGCTTCACACAAACAGGTTCAAGCAAGCCTTTCTAAGCAAGTTACAATTTTTGGTTTCATTCAAACTAGCGAACTACGGTTAGTGGTTCTCTTGCAAATCAGACTTGCAAACCACAGCTTGCGTGCACAGAATGGATTAAGGGCAGGCCCAGAGCGATGCCTGAGGAACTTCCCCATGTCATCCATAGGATCTATTCCACCCAGTTTGTTTATTTAGAAAATGTATGTGCCATCTCTCCAGAGACTGGCTCTAGGAGGCTTATAGCTAGGATAATATGACCAACCTCTTAGTTCTCCCACTATGGAACGGGAGCCAGCCACTGATTTTGAGGGCGACCAAAATGAAGATTGAAAGAAACCTGCCTGTTTCAAAATCCTTTAGAATGGCTTATGACTCTATGAGAACTGGTTTTGATAACTAACTGATAAATAACTAATGGCGCAACAGGGAAGGCCGAAGTTTTAAAAGGAAGCCCTTTCCCTAGGGTTTAACAGGCAACGTTGGAGGGGGGCCGTTATCTGCTTCTAATCTGGCTTCGCACAGCTGGTTCCACTAGGAGATGCCCCTGGACTTATCTGGGTTTCGTTTTTTGCGGCCGTGGGGCTGGAAGGTGAGCAAAGGGGAGGGATTTCCCCTTTGCTTTCTCGGCAGGGCCCGAGGTGGTTAGCTCTGGCCGTGGCTAGAGCAGCCAATCGGGCACCTGGGCCTGTGAGGGAGGGGCGGGGCTTCAAGGAGGACCTGGAAGCCGGAGTTTGTCACTCTGGTCTGTCCCCCCCCCCCTTGTGGTTCAACTCGCTCGGCATCCACAGCTCCAAAGCTTTTCCACACACACATGAGGCATCCCTCTGACAGCGAAAGTCTACTTACCTTCCATTGACAGCAAAACACAGCTGGCACATCCCCTGCAAGGCTGCGGTGGCGTTTTGCAAGAAAGCTGCTATTTTGGGATTGTCGTCAATCGGGCCTTGGACGGACAGGAAGCAGCAGCTCAGCTTTTCAATCAATCCAATATTCACCACATAGCTAGCCAAAGACGGAGAGAGGGAGGAAGAGGGGAAACGGTGTCAATGCCGATCACTGCCCACTTCAGTGGCTCCTGTTTCAATGTATCTGAAGCTAACTCGAAAGCTTATACCCCGAATAAAACTTTGCAGGTCTTAAAGTTGCCCCACTGGACTCCAACTTTGTTCTATGACTAATTCTGCCATTTGATGAACAGAATCAACTTCCGATCTTTAGGAGGCAGCTGAAGACGGTTTTATTTAGGGCGCTGCTCGATTAAAAGCAGTCCTAAATTGTGATTTTAAAATTTCGGTTTTTTTAATGTTTATGTACATTTTTTTTCATGTTTATGTATAATTTCTGATGAGATGGTCAGACAGTGTTATCGAGGCAACGAACATGAAATTAAGCAAACTCCGGAGCACGACGGAAGACAGGAGGGCCTGGTGTGATGTGGTCCGTGGGGTCGCGAAGGGTCGGACTCGATTGTGCGACTAAACAACAACAACAACAAATAATTTTCTTTTATATGTTTTACTTATGTCGCCAGTCGCCTCGTGCTCCATAAGGAAGGAAAGGAGTAATAAACATTTTAAATATATATTTTTTTTAAATGCTAGTTTAGGGAGAGAGAGAGAGAGGAAAATACTGACTGCAATTCCTGGAACTATGCGTGAGCGAGGCTCTCTGGTGTTCCCTTTCCCCTTTGATTGGCTGCTCCTCTCCACAGCTGTAAGGTGGTCCGACTCACACAGCAAGTGCCAATTCCCCTCAGCCGTGCGCCAAAACACACAATAAACTGATTACGGAGTGAATGGCTCTCGCTGACAATGCGGCCCTGCCCGTCTGAAACGCCTTCTCGTTGTCCTATTACCTTGTCATCATGCCTTTCATTCCTCCGTTAGAACCAGATCCCTTGAAATGCCTCAGGTGAGAGGCCGGACCTGATTCTCCCGCTTTGCTTCAGAGCAAGCGGGGGGGGGGCTGCACTCAGTTCGGCCGGTGTCGGGTGTCGGCGGCACAAAAATACCAAAAAAGCCGACCTCCCAATTCGAAAACATAACAGCCTGAAATTTCACACTTTCTGAAAACCTGTTTGTGAAAGGGTGTGTGGAGACGCACGGATTTTTGAAAAAGGTCACAAGTCTCGATAACGAGGTGTCCACTCTGCTTTCCCGCTTACAGGTGCGCTCTTAATTTAAACTCGTCTTCATTACACCAGACCTCCCCTGCGGCACAGGGGAGCTGAGAAAGGCAGCAGTGCTGTTAAGGGCCTGGAGGGAGGGCCTGGCGGGCACCCACAAACCCACAGCCTGAGTTTGGCCAGAAGGGCACTGTTTGGGTCATAGAATCATAGAGTTGGAAGGGACCTCCAGGGTCAACTAGTCCAACCCCCTGCACAATGCAGGAAATTCACAAATACCTTCCCCCCTCCCCCCCCCAGTGACCCCTGTTCCACTCCCAGAAGATGACAAAAAACCTCCAGGGCTGGTTGCTGGGAGGGTGTTCCTGTGAGTTGGAAAAGACGCGAGGGCAAAGAGGTCTGGTCCCCACCTGTGCTTCCCAGGTGGAAGCCGCCCTGAGCCTTCGGGGAGGGCGGGATACAAATCTAAAGAATAAATAAATAAATAAGTATTGGGTGCGGATTTAAGTATGGCCACACCGAGTTGCTGGGGGGAAGCAGCGGGTGCTCTGAGCACTCACAGAGGCAACTGAGGTGGTCTTGTCAGTGAGAGTGAAGATGAGGGAACCTAGATAGCTGGGTCCAGGAAGTGCTGGAACTAACCTGTGTTTGGTCTAGGGGTTAAGTGCGCGGACTCTGATCTGGGAGAACCGGGTTTGATTTCCCACTCCTCCACTTGCAGCTGCTATATGACCTTGGGACAGTCACAAGTTCTCTCAGAGCTGTCTGCTCAAGAGCAGTTCTCTCAGAGCTCTCTCAGCTCCACCTGCCCCACAGAGGGTGTCTGTTGTGGGGAGGGGAAGGGAAATGAGTTTGTAAGTCGCTCTGAGACTCCGAGTGAAGGGCGGGGTATAAATCCAATCTCTTCTCTTCTTCTCTTATATGCACACTGGACTGAGTAGAAATATTTTCCAAGCGCTACCTGGTCTCCTCTAGTGAGTATACCCCATGGAATGGAGGGACGCCCCCTCCCCAGCTTGCCGAAGCCCTCAGCTCTGGCTGGTCCTACAACACAGGAAGGCCCTGAGCGGAACCCGGCAGCTACGTCCCCGTTATTTAAATGCACTCTTGTGTTTAAGAGTCCTTTTCTAACGCCCTGTTCATGGGCCAGACCACAGCCAGACCAAGCCAAACTACTTATTAAACAAAGAGTGACAGATATGGAAAAACAAATGGATATTCATAGAATTCCAGGTTTTATCTCTCCTCCAGATTTTAGATTTGTTGGCTGCTCCTGTTCAGTACTTATACTTTCTTGAATCAAATAATTTCAGAAGGGCTTTTACATTGGCAAGAAGTTCAACTCTACCTTCTGCTGTTCTGGAAGGGAGGTTTAAATTAGTCTCCTATATGCATAGGCTTGTTCTTTAAAGGAAACTTATTCAATGGAATATATTTTCTCTAACTGCCCTAGACACAAAGAAATCCGGTCAAAATTTATTGAGCTGCTGATCGGAAATTTCCCCAGCAGATCAAGCAAAATTAAACTTGATTATCTTCTGTCCGATATGAACCGTGAAACAACCCGAATAGTGTCTAAATTTTGCGCACCAGTGTATAAAGATAGGAAAACGCATACGGTAGCTTGAGTGAATTTTTTAAAGTTGCGAAACGTGATCGTTTGATTTTATGTAAACCTTTGTGTATGCTGGTCATTGACCGTAAAATAAAATTGTTGCTGTTGTTGAACACCCTGTTCCCCTTCTGCTTTGTATCCTTTGTGTTGATAGATATTTCTTTAATATAGTGGTCGGATGGTCTCTCCACAAAACACCTGAAAGTGGCTCATGAGAGGCAATTAAACAGAATAAAATACAATCCCAAACATCCATAAATCGAAACGAAGAGACAAAATATCAGACACCGGCAGATTAATATGATAAAATAGTGAATGTAACAGTATCTGCAGACAACAAAAGTATAATAAAATGTGAAAGTTGAGGGAAAAAGTCACTCAGCAGAATGGCTGGACGAATACGAAGGTTTTCGCCTGGCACTTAAAAGGGAAGAGGTCAGGCACTAGGCAAACTGCTGTAGAGAAGGGCCTCCACAGAAAAGATTTGTCTCTACTCTCCACTTACATGGCCTTGGAAAGGGGTGGCACCTGAATAAAGCCTCTGATGTTGACTGTGCAGGTTCGTATGATACGGAAATATGCAGTGGGAATTTGTATTCAGATTTTCTGAAATCTGAGGTGAGTGAGGTAACCTTGCTTGTTTGTCACATAACATAACATTGCTGCCAATCTTTGTAAGTTTTTTTTATCTTTTATATTGTGATGGCCATTGGCTACATGCAGTAAACTTTGAACTGAACATAACATTGTATTTTATTGTTCTTTCAACTCAGATCAAGATCCAATCACCACAGCTAAATATTTAGCAACTGCTAAGGTAGTTTTCCGATCCTTGTAATATCGAAGTGACAGGGAACCTGGCAACCGGGTTGGGACGTCAGCCAGTGTGACCGGCCCGTGAAAGTATTGGGATAGCTGCTTTAATAATACAATCCGTAAAATATAACTGCTTTGTGGAACACAAATCCTCACATCTTAAGGAGACATAAAAATGGAGTCTCTTCCAATGCCCTGATTCGAAACGAGGGAACTCGTAATTTTAATGGGGTGGTTAAAAATTCAATATAGAGTTTTAGTATTTTCTATTTTACAAGGTTGTTAAGAAACCTAAGCTCTTGAGACAGGGAAGATTTTTTAAAATATACTTTAGAACAATGGCCAATATACTAAAAATATACTTTAGAGCAATGGCCAAACGCCGCCATCGTTTATTAATACCTATGTTCCCAGCACCTACGATTTTATATGTTGTGGTCTTATTTAAATCTGTGTTTTAATATATTTCGCTGGTTTTATATACACACACACCCATATACACACATATATATCAGTGGCTATTAGCCACAAGGTATAGATAGGGTCTCTGGGGCAAGTGATGCTCTGTCTTCTTGGTGCTTGTGGGGGGCCCAAGAGTGGGAGGGCTTCTAATGTCCTGGCCCCACTGGTGGATCTCCTGATGGCACTGGTATTTCTGGCCACTGTGTGACACAGAGTGTTGGACTGGATGGGCCTTTGGCCTGATCCAACATTGGCGTCTCTTATGTTCTTATATGGAGCAGAGGTCCATCAGGGGCTCTTAGCCAGAAGGTATAGATAGGGGCTCTGGGGCAAGTTATGCTCTGTCTTCTTGGTGCTAGTGGGAGGGCTTCTAATGTCCTGGCCCCACTGGTGGACCTCCTGATGGCACCTGGTATTTCTGGCCACTGTGTGACAGAGTGTTGGACTAGATGGGCCTGTGGCCTGATCCAACATTGGCATCTCTTATGTTCTTATGTTCTTATATGTATGTATTATGTATTCTGTAAGCCACCCTGAGCCTGCCTCAGCGGGGAGGGTGGGATATAAAATAAATAAATAAATAAATGGTGATAACTTTAAAGGGACATGGTTTGTTACTATGTAGCTTGAGCCTCACAGGCTCCTCTCCCCTTTCTCTGGGGCGAATTTAGCAGAAGAGTTCAGAGAAACTGTTGGCAGAACAGATCTTTTCCCCGCTTATCCTGCCATTTGACTCTAAACTCCTCCGAGGACTGGGAGACCCTTGCAATTGGATGGGATACCGGGGAGGAATAATTTGCCTTCCTCCCTTCTCCACTGATGCAATCCTCTAACGGAAGATAAAGGGACAAGTATACACACTGCAAGAGGTCAGAGAAGAAGGGCAGTCGGGGTCGGCATGGGGGGCACCACGGGTTCCGAAGAGACAGAAAAAGCAATTTGTTAAGATCTCCTTGAAAAATTAAATGTACCCTTTCGTAGCTTTCGGAAAAGAGGATGGAAATAAATGATACAAAGGGGGAGGGGAATATCCTGCGGGAAGAAACAGATTTTTTTAAAAAAGAGACCTCTGCACCGTGCCTCCCCCCAAAGCACAAGACCCATCAAGACTGCCCAAGAGAGAGATAACAACAACTGAGCGAGATGCTTATTTCATCTGAGGAAGCGCACTCTGGTCGTAAGAACGTAAGGAGAACCTTGCTGGATCAGATCAGGGGTCCATCCATTCCAGCATCCCGTTGTACACGGCGGCCAACCAGTTGCCCTAGAGGGCCAATCAACAGGGTCTAGAGGCCGAGGACTTCTCCTGATGCTGCCTCCATGTATTGGCATTCAGAGGTTTGCTGCTTCTGAATATGGAGGTTCTCTTTAGTCACCACACCTAGTAGCCACTGATGGATCTCTTCCTCCACGAATCTGTCTGGTGGTGGCGGGAAAAAGTGTCATCAAGTCGCATCCGATTTCAAGGCAAGAGATATTCAGAGGTGGGTTTGCCACTGCCAGCCTCTGCACAGAGACCCTGGACTTCCTTGGCGGTCTCCTATCCAAGGACTAACCAGGAATGACCCTGATTTGCTTCTGAGATCTGATGAGACTGGGCTAGCCTGGGCCATCTAGGTCAGGGAGCGAGATGTCCAAAGGTGGTTTGCCATTGCCTGCCTCTGTGTGGTGACACTGGACTTCCTTGGTGGTCTTCCATCCAAGTACTAACCAGGAATGACCTTGCTTTGCTTCTGAGATGTGACGAGATTTGGCTAGCCTGGGCCACCCAGGTCAGGGTTGAATCTGTCTAAACCCCCATGTAAATCCATCTATGCTCCCAGCCATCACTACATTCCACATTAGGGGAGGTAGGTAGAGCATCTGCTTGGCATGCAGAAGGTCCCAGGTTCAATCCCCAGGATCTCCAGTTAAAAGGACCAGGCAGCAGGTGATGGGAAAGACCTCTGCCTGAGATTCTGGCTCAGTGGTAGAGCATCTGCTTGGCATGCAGAAGGTCCCAGGTTCAATCCCCAATAGCTCCTATTAAGAGGAAGAGGCAGAAGGTGATGTGAAGGACCTTGACCTGAGACCCTGGATCAGTGGTAGAGCATCTGCTTGCAATGCAGAAGGTCCCAGCTTCAATGCCTAATAGCTCCTATTAAGAGGAACAGGTAGAAGATGATGTGAAGGACCTTGACCTGAGACCCTGGCTCAGAGGTAGAGTATCTGCTTGGCATGCAGAAGGTCCCAGGTTCAATCCCCAATAGCTCCTATTAAGAGAAACAGGTAGAAGGTGATGGGAAAGACCTTGACTTGAGACCCTGGCTCAGTGGCAGAGCATCTGCTTGGCATGCAGAAGGTCCCAGGTTCAAACCCCGGCATCTCCAGTTTACAGGATCAGTTAGCGGGTGATTTGAAAGGCCTCAGCCTGATACCCTGGAGAGCTGCTGCCAGTCTGAGTAGATGATATTGACTTTGATTGACCAAGGATCTCGTTCAGTATAAAGCAGCTTCTTGTGTGCACAGTGCAATTACTTGTTTCCGACTGTCTGTCCTGATCCTATTTCCATGGAAGTTTATGCCTTTAAGATGCCATCAGTCAGCTATTGGGTCACTGACACTAAATGGGAGACACAGCAGGAGAGCTGCTGGATTGTGAATTCGTACCACGGGAAGGGACGGAGACCAGGAGAGGAGGCTGAATTCGAACCCACCTCCCCACCCCCGTCCAGGGCTTCTTGCTCCGTTCCCCCATCCCTCGACCACTTCCCTATGCCCCCCCACCATGCATTCCCAGCTCACCCGACCGGGCACTTCTGGGGCTGCTGGCTGCATATACAGGAGACCCCCGTTCCCCACTGCATGGCGATGGTGGGGGAAACAGGCTCTGGCGGGAAGTGACGGCTGGCCGAGGTCTCGGTTCTCTCTTGGAGCGCAGACTTGTGCCCCCCCCTTTTAACACCCCCCACGCAAGAAGCCCAAGCAGACGGAGCCGTGAACAGGGAGTACTCAGGGACGCGACGATGCACCTCCCAGGCTGAAGCATCCCCCCCCCCCTTGACCAAGGATCTCGTTCAGTATAAAGCAGCTTCTTGTGTGCACAGTGCAATTACTTGTTTCCGACTGTCTGTCCTGATCCTATTTCCATGGAAGTTTATGCCTTTAAGATGCCATCAGTCAGCTATTGGGTCACTGACACTAAATGGGAGACACAGCAGGAGAGCTGCTGGATTGTGAATTCGTACCAGGACGAGTCTGCTAGTCCTTATGGGTTTGCAAGGGGAGAGACCACAGCCCAAGCATATTTTGATTTAATCCTCATGAATTATGGCTGCAAAGTTTTAATATCTGGAACTGCTATAAAACGGGAGAATTAGAAGAAGAGCGGCTTACTTATTACGGAGGTGTGCCTTCAAGCGCTTGCTGAAATCCACAAGAAAAGGAGAAAGAGTTCGTCACCTACTGGACACAAGTATTTTCCTTTTTTTCCTTTCTGAACACAGCAGCGTATCAGAGGTGAATCTTGTAAAGTCAGGGGGATCGCTAGAACAGCGACCCATTCGTTCAAACGTGGAATTGGTAGAATTGACTAAATCCAAAGACAACGGCGTAATTGCGCAGGACGACAAATCGGCATGGAAGGAAACCGGCGGGGTGCATGTGTGGCAAATTCTTGTGAGGGTTAGGGCATTCGTTTGGTTCACTGACTCTGAAGAAAGAGCATACGTTACCGCACACGGCAACTTCAACAGCAAGTGAAACAGGACACTTACGGGAGATTTTAATTCCAACCGAAACGCACGCACGCATACACACCCGAACACACTCTTCTGCATTCTGGTTGCTCTCCTAGGTGCATCTGAGGCCCAACCATTTCCCCATTTTTTTGGTTCCCCCCCCCCCCACATTTATGGCCAGGCTCCGAGCACAGGTTTGTTACGCGGTCCTTGGGCCAGCTGCATTTTCTTTCGGCTTCGGGTATGCTCTGAGCAACCGAAATCGTAAAGACGGCACCCGTTTTCTTACCCGATGAGGTCCTGTATCCGTCCGTTAAAGGCTTCGGCGGGCGATGTCTTGTTCTTCGTTTCTTGAAGCAGCTTTGGGGCGCAGGTCTGATTGTTTCCATAAGGCACGCTGGAGATCAGGCACCTGAACACCACAGCCACGATTCGGAGAACGCCCGCGGTCAGGCCTTCAAACACCTGCTTGTTGGCCGTCCTTCCCAAAGGGGCGTTGAGGTCATCCGGAACATAAACCTACGGACATAAACAAAGCCGGGGTCAATATTATTTCTGTATTTTTTTTTAAACGAGCCCATCCCAAATTACTTTTAAAGTTAACACAGAAGTTGACAGCAGACAGCAAGAAAGGAACATTCCGCTACTTGCTGTCGGACCCTAGACTTTGACAGTTAATCGTTTTAGATAAACTCAGCTGGATCTCGAGTAGCCTTTGCTGCCCATGTATTTGCCATATGCCCTTTCTTCAACCCGTACATATCACTGGCTGCCGTGATTGCCTGCGGGAGTCTTGAGTCAACTTCAGGCTAGGTGGAAAAAGGACGTCTCTCTCTCTCTCTCTCTCTCTCTCTCTCTCTCTCTCTCTCTCTATATATCTCTCTCC